ATAACAACGTCGCTGCGTCTCTGGATACTCGTCCCTGATTGGTTGACGCTGCGTCTAACGCGAAAAGTTCAGCATTTTCAACTTCTTGACGCTGACGCCTTGGACGCGCGTCTTGGCCGCTGACGCCAAAACGCTGAAGACGCGCCGCGCTGACGCCGAAAACGCGCCGCAAAAACGCAGGACGCTCGTGCACATAGACTTTACATAGAAAGTGGACGCTTTGGTCTGAACGGGCCTTTAGAATAAAGTGCAATTGCACTTCCACTACATTAGGGGGCAGAGCGCTCTCATTGGCAGAGTGTGCGCAGGGAGTTTTGTTTGCACTGAGCATGCGCGCTTTGCACACAGCACAGAGTTTGAGTATGAAGTGTAGACACGAAGTGTAGCAGACCCTCAAGTGACACCATGAAAAAATATTTAACAGGGATGAGAAGACAGACGGAGAGAGACGGAGATAAAGAGACAAACGAAAATCTCCCGAAAGCTAAGACGAGGAATATGACGAAGCGTTGTAGCGCTTGCTTCACTGTGACTACGGTGGGAGACGAGGAAAGACCGGTGTGTTACTGTGTCTAAAAATGTTGGCAGCGGACAGCATGAAGCCCAATAAATTAAGCGTCACTTTAATACACCCCAATCACTCTGATAAGCTTGAGTTTTTCAGCGAAAACGTGCCGAATATTGCCGACAATCATCCCGCTGTGACTGCTACTTCAGTAAACCAGCGAGCGTTGTTGGCATCATATAAGGTGGCAGTGTTACGCAGAGGTGTACTTATACAATTTTATAGTGATACTATAGTCACGCGGGGGGGCGCCAGATATTCGTCCTAGGGGGCATGACAGAAAATAATGAGAAGCACTGATTTAATCCATTTACAGACAGATAAATGTCCTAATATGTGGCTCCACATCAGTATTTATCTGCAGAGTCATTTGTCTGTGTGTAGTCTGTCGCAGCCAAACACAACACTTAAGATTATATTCTTTTTACGGACAATCATTTTAAGTCTGGATTAAAAGGACATTTATTAGTGCAGATTTGTGATGTGAGGAGGAGCCTGTGTGAGCGCTGAGTGTTGGAAATACATCGACTTTGAAGCTAGTTTTGGTTAGCGATTAGCTGCTGTAGCTCCCACACATAAACAGGCTGTTTTCTATTGGTCTATTGTAAAGTTACTATTTTGGTCGTATATTTGTCATTGGACCAGCACTAATGAGCTGTGAAAAGAGGTGTGAATTATGACATTTGTGCATATAATGAATTACCATGGCGCGCACGTATTTAAGGCTAAAGGCTAATAGCGGTAGTTTCCTTACTAGCTAGTAGTGATGGGTCAGTCGCGAACGAAACGGCTCTTAGATCCGGCTCTTTGAAGTGAACAATGGGAGCCTGCTCCTTATTGGGAGCCGTGTTTTCTCTTTCTCTCACTTTTTTTCTCTTCACGTCGTGTGCAGACTCGTGGTAGTTTGACAGCGGCAGTGGCTGAAAACGAAACTTTCAGAAATATGCGTGTGCATAGGAGAGAAAAAACGTGCATGTTTGGCTGTAGTTCAACATAAAATAAATAAACCAAGACTAATCTTGGGGTTGAGAGACGGAGAGATAGAGACCGAGTCCCGACACTCAGTCCTGGTTCAGTTCTGGTTTAGTTCTGCTTGCAACAAAACAATCTGAAGAACTGCTTGGGAGCCAAAAGAGCCAGCTGCTTTTAGTGAGCCGAGCCAAAAGAGCCGGTTCTCTGAAAAGAACAGGAATCCCCATCACTAGCTGCTAGAATGTGATGCAAAAATGCCATTAGGCCGACCTACTGTCTGTAAATATGACGTAAAGAGGCAGAATAACAATAAATTATGCCTAAATAAACCCAATTTAAAATCCATTAGAGCCAAACCTAAGTTTTTTAAACAATTCAAGATTTACAGTGAATTTTTACATCACTAAATATATCGGCGATTATATCGGCTATCGGCAGCTCAAACTCCAATTTTATCAGTTTCATATCGGCCACAACAAAACCCATATTGGTCGGGCTCTACTAATAACACCAGGAGGTGTCTGGGGAGGGGGAGGCCACATGGAGGCACGATGGCAGAGTGGTTAGCACTCTCTCCTCTTAACAAGAAGGTCCTGGAAGGTCCTTGCATGTATAATGACAAACAGAAACATGAACACAAACACAGTTCCAGAGGTGAAGAGTCTGTACCTGCAGTTTGTCCTGCAGAGGCTTGATGGACGTCCTCAGCTGCTCTCTCAGGTCCTCGGCCGCCTCCTCCATGGGACTAAACCTGTGGTCTTTGTGAGTCCTGGAGTCTCTGCAGACCAGGCACACCGGCTGCTGATGGTCCAGACAGAAGAGCCGGAGCTTCTCTCTGAGTGAACACTGCACAGAGGCTCTGAAGGGGTCTGCTCTGAAGGGGTCTGCTCTCTCTGCTCTGAAGGGGTCTGCTCTCTCTGCTCTGAAGGGGTCTGCTTTTTCTGCTGTGAAGGGGTCTGCTCTCTCTGCTCTGTAAACGTCTGCACCAGGTTCCTCAGCACCAGGTTCACAGGAGGATGTTCCCTTGAGGATCTTCTCTTACAAACTGCACAGGTCTTTATGGGTTTGTTCCTCCACCAGTTCTGCAGACAGACTTTACAGAAGCTGTGGCTGCAGGACAGAAGCACAGGTTCTCTGAAGAGCTCACAGCAGATGGGACAGGTCAGGTCCTCCTCCAGCCTGGAAGCCATTTTGTCTCTAAATCTAAAACCACAATGAGACAGAACACAATTTGTCATCACACCATATTTTCAGAGTCATTTAAAGAAGAAACTAGAAAAGCAGTCAGAGAGCGCAGACCTCCGCCAAGGACTACCCCCATTTTTTATATAAATTGCGATAAAATCAGTCTTCTGGATCAGATCCAGATCAGCCTTTGGAATATGAAAGAGGATCATTGTCCATCCCTGAGTCAAATTTCATGGGGTTTGGTCAATAATTAACCAAGATATTGAGAAACAAATTTTTTGGCCCCATTTACCACAATGTTAACTAAAATTTCGAAGTGATCCAGAATCCAGGATTTCTTCCGGATCACCCCCAAAATGAAATCACTTCTTCCTTTTCACATTTCCAACAAATCCTGAAAATTTCATCAAAATCGGTCCATAACTTTTTGAGTTATGTTGCTAACAGACAAACAAACAAACAGACAGACAAACGCCGGCAAAAACATAACCTCCTTGGCGGAGGTAAAAATGGTAACAAAAAGACACTGACAAACACAAAGTCTTCATCAAGACTATAAGTCATGACAAAGTTTCTATTGAAAATCAATAATAATATTTTGAAGCCTGTTACAAGCGATTAGATAAACACTAGGGATGCAACAATATCATTCGATACTGGTCTCACGATTCGATTCAATACACGTGTTCTGTCGATATGCACATGTCCCTCCAGGGCTCTGTGTTGTCTCTTATTTTAGTCCCAAAGGAAAACAGTTATAGCGTCCTCTGCAAGAAAACTGCTCCATAGGGATGTACTGCTGAAATATTCTAACAGAGGAGGGTTTGATCATTCGGTCACTATTTATTTTACGTTGATCGACCCAAAAATGACAAAGCTATTACCTTCAAAATACTTTAGAATCGCTTTTGGCTTCAGATCATCTTTAATGAAGTGCACTCATATATGTGATCTTTTTCTCAGACTCTATCTCACAAGTTTTAGTCAAAAAACTGTCTGAGACATTCCTGTGTAGTTTGAGTGTTCAGAAAGAGGATGGGAGAGTGCAGTGTGTCTGTAAGAGCACAGACTGTAACAGGGCAGTGTGGGAGGAGCTACGTACTCTGTCTCTGCTGGATTGTGCAGTGTGGGAGGAGCTACGTACTGTCTCTGCTGGAGGAGGCAGCGCGGGCACAAGTGCACCCAGTGAGAGGACTGAGGAGGAAAAGAAGTCATCAAATCATCATCAAAAACAGAAGTCTGTTATTGTCACTCCCCTACAGTCTATATTAAGAGTCGACTGGTTTATTATAAAATGTTAAACAGCTTGAGAAACTTATGTTCTTATTTTCATTGAATAAAAATGCTGTAAATCCTTGAACCAAATGAGCTAAAACACTTCACATATAAACTCCAGCTGTACAGTAGCTGTGCTGTAGTGTAATGTTTCATTAACATCATGGTGTTATTTTATATTCATCAGCAGAAAAAATTACATGAGACTTTTATTTTTTTTTGCGATCTAATTGTGACCCATCGAGATACGTATTGAATCGTGAGAAAACTGTATCGTTGCTTCCTTAATAAATGCAATTTCAAATGTAGAAAAATGAAATCAACAGTAACTCTGCAATTATGTGGTTACATCAGTGTCAGTACTCACTTGAGTCATGAAGGTGGATTTTATTTATGCTTTTTTAATTTATTTTTTTAATTAAACATCAATCCCATTTAGTTTAGTCTGATCTGATCATTTTAATTTTGTACCTCGAGTTCCACAATCCTGGGTCCCATCCCCCACTGCAGCATCTACTTTCACTTTCTCTGCTGCCGTAACAGAAGTGTCTTTCCACTCACCAAAGTCCAGAGCAGGTTTCACAGCTCAAGTAGAAGCCTGGAGTTTCTTTGTTGTTGAATTTTGGAGCTGAAATGGTCGTTCAGATGGATCCTTCTCCCTCTGTGTCTCTGAACTGGACTCAACATTTCCTGGTCTTGGTCTGAATTGATAAACGTGTCATGTGACTGTTCATACCTGAGATGGAGACACACCTTTTATTTCCAAAACTGACATCAGTGCAAAGACTACATTAATTTATGAATGTATTTTTAACCTCACAAACAAATAAAAAAAGTAATGAATCATCAAAAGGGACAAAAGGAGTTTACATCCTAAGTAGAACACTATAAGTACAGCAATAGCATCTCCATGGAAACGAGGAGGTGTCGCACCCTCCAACCAGAAAAGTCCAGGTCTTATTGCTGCTGTTTTCCTGACTCGTTGTTCCTCTCTCTGCAGGTGCACGTTCCGGTTCCCCAGCACAAACATAAAGATCTCGTTCACGGCCTTGTCCAGTGGCAGGAAAGTGAAACGTGAAGCTCCAGAATCTCCAGTTAAAGCGGTTCAGCCTCAGATCTCTCCTTTAACCATCAGCATCCCAGAAAACATCGCCCACCTCATGAGCCCCCTGCCCTCCCCCACAGGGACCATCAGGTAACTGGAGTTTGTCTTGTAATTTTCTCATTCCATCAACTCTCCTTAAATCCGCGTTTTGTACCTTTTGGTTCATAGCACAATTTCCAAATCGGCATTGTTGGTGATTGTGATGTTTTAATGTGTGTTTTTCCACAGTGCTGCTAACTCGTGCCCCTCCAGTCCACGGGGGGCAGGCTCCTCTGGGTACAGACTGGGCAGTCGAATGGTGAGCTCAGCAGAACTTCAGCTCATAAACGATAACTCGCAACCAGAGCACGAGAAGGACAACTCCGGAGGGGACAGTCCCAAGGTACGCACGGACCTGAGGCTACGTAAACAGGGATTCTACGTCATTCACTCAAAATAATGTGTGAATGACGTAGAGAACTGGGGGCAGTAGATCAGGTGGAAGTGTTTGGCGGTTTGAATCCCGATTTTGACATAAACATGATCGGTTGAGCGGTCAGATCCACTGATCCACAGGTTGGCGGTGTGTGATTTCTACTCCCACAGATGAATGCTGTCATTGTGTCCTTGGGCAAGACGCTTAATCCACCTCACCCCCAGTGTCTGTGTGTACTGATGTGTGAATGTGTGTGTGAGTGGGTGAGTGGCTCCTTGATGTAAAGTCCTTTGAGGGCCTTGAAGGGTGAAAAGAGCTGGATAACTGTTTTGATGGGTTGAAAATCATACAGTTGTCTACATTTTTATATTTTATCCTCATAATTTAAACACATTTCAAATAAAGAGCTGAGATAAAGATGAAGAGCTAGATTTCTTGGAAGTATTGGGCAGAGACAGAACTTAAAAAGAAAAAAAAAACGTATATAACTCTGAGACAGTGTAATCCTTCATTCGCCCAGGAGGGGTTCAGTGTAGACACTGTTAAAATGGCATTAGGTTTTTGTATTTAAAAAGATTCTGCGTGTAACCACCTGTCACACTGTAAAAATATAATAAAATGTCTGTCACACTGACTGAATGAAATAATCTCCAGTGAAACCTGTGGGACAGAGGATCGTACAAGGGCTGGATAATGTCCTGTTTGACTGCAGTGTTACTGAATCAATGAGTTTAAAAAGACTCTTCCTGTGACCACATGCCCAAATGAGCCGTAAAAATATAATGACTGATAAAAATAGCTTATTTTCTGGACCCTGTCCGTCACTAACCTGATTCACACCAGACTGAGATGTGCTGCAGGCTGAATGAGTTCTACACGTTCTCAGTCTGGAACAGCCCTCACTGAAAGAGATCAGGAAAATGCAGAACATCATGACAAATGTTTGGATCTTATAACTTTAACTTTTGCTAAATCCAGATGTTTTTCTTGTCCTCAAAATGCAGAATGTTTTTCACAAACAAAATAGTCTAAAATCACCTGAAATATGGGTCAGTCCATATGAAATCAGCTGCCCTCCCCTATGAGCCAGCTCAGAATTGGCTGAAAAATTTTCAAAAAAAAAATCTAAAATGACCAAATAAAAGAATCTAAAATTTTAGCTTAATCCAAACTTGAGTTGTTCCTGAGTTATGGCCCATTGAAATTTTGCGGCCATGCTCACTTTTTCAGAAGCCTTTATTTAAAAACATGTTTGAGAGACCAGAACTTCATGAAAAATAGAACTAGGAAGCTTATTGTAGATTCTTGGTCATAGATTCTGAATCTGTTGTCAAACATTTAGTATCTTTATTAAGGGGGGGCACTGTGGGCCCCCAAAATCTCATATTTGGTTACCGCTCAATTTTTTATTTAATTTTTTTTCAATTTTTGAGATTTAAAATCTTTTTACTCCAAGCAGATTTACAAACTCACTGTTGAACCTGAATATTTGAGAGAATGACCATTTCTGACAACAATCTCACACTTTTCTGAGCTTTCATGTGGATGGTGTAGAGTCTCAAATATGGTCACAAACCAAATGTGATTTTTTTGGCCCCTTCTTTGGACCCTCGGTTCCCCATGTGGGCACAGTTAGATGTTGATAAAATTTTTTCCAGAGAAACTTTGGTATATTCTGATTAGTTTAAAGTAATAAAAACATCTACCATTAACTTCCTTCATTTCAAATGGAATTTTTGAAAATGAGCTTAATAAAGAACCAATAACCAATATTTGACATCAGATTTAGAATCTATGACCAAGAATCTACAATAACCTTCCTAAGTCTATTTTTTATGAAAACGACTCAAGGGATTGAGCAAAAATTTTAGATTCTTTCATTTGGTGATTTTAGAAATTTTTGGAAAATTTTCCAGCCAATTCTGAGATGGCTCATAGGGGAGATTCCTTGAAAACGGTTGATTTCATATGGACTGACTCATACGTGTGTCTGCACTTCGCCTTTGGCTTTAACACAAACCTCAATGTCGCTCTGTGGTTGGTCCACCTGCTGCTGGGTGAATTTGACCCTCACAGCGAGAGTATCTCAAGATGGATTCTTGTGAGTTTGTGAACTCCAAATATTGCAAGAATCGTGTGCAAGGTTAAATCCATCACAATGACTAGAATTATCTCCAGTGAAACCTGTGGGACAGCAGATCTTACAAGGGTTGCATAATGTCAAACATAATACCTTCATTCTGACTTGTGTGTGTCAAGTCTTTTAAAATGCATTATAATCCTAAACACAGATTAAATGTTGTGTTTTTTTTCTCTGTAGGACGACTCGAAGCCTCCGTACTCCTATGCACAGTTGATTGTCCAGGCCATCACTCTGGCTCAGGACAAACAGCTCACTTTAAACGGCATCTACAACCACATCACCAAGAACTACCCCTACTACCGCACCGCCGACAAGGGCTGGCAGGTGAGGACCACACCATCACTTTATATACAGACCACCGAGTGAAATAAAAACACCAGGATCATGTAGACCAGGTTAACACAGACATTTGTAGGTCTGAATCTGAAGCCTGACATCAGCAGACATCAAATTTGCCACATTTTTCTGTAGAAAGTCAATTGCGACCAGAATCAAGGCATGAACATTAATAACAGACAAATCAGATGCCTTCAACCTTCAACAGCCTCACTCCTGATTGGCTCTTTGGTTGCTATGACACTCACAGTCAGAATTCCAAATATGGGACTCAGCTCCAAATTCACCTCTATCACTGCCGGCCTCGATAAGCTTCATTTGACTGGAGCTGAACGCTGTGGGTGATGTCACACTCACTCACATAGAGTTTGTGGCAGTGGTTAGTGGGTTATCTTCGTACATTTCTTTATCCAGTCTATGTGTGAGAGCAGAGGAGGAGAGGGTCACATGAGTAAGTGAATATTGTGTTGCTTCATATTTCCTTTTAAGATGAAACTACAATCATCTGCCTCCTGTTTTTCAGAACTCGATCCGTCATAACCTTTCTCTGAACCGGTACTTCATAAAAGTGGCCCGGTCTCAGGAGGAGCCGGGGAAAGGTTCGTTCTGGAGGATAGACCCGTCGTCTGAAGCTAAACTGGTGGAACAGGCCTTCAGGAAACGCAGGCCCAGAGGAGTCCCCTGCTTCAGAGCCCCACACGGACCCCTCTCATCCAGGTCAGACTTACGGAGGGAGGATGGAGCTACACTGTGATCTGGCTAAAATATACAAAACCCTCCTCACGTTTAGCCGTAAGAGTCTGTGCACTCATGCTCCCATATTCTCCAATTCTCCATAAATGTACAAAAGCAGGATACAAAACAAGACACTACTACTTCACAAACCTGATGCGATGTGCAGTAGTTTCTTTAGTGGCTTGCAGGCTGATTATGTTGTGATAGAGCTCTGAAGGGGGAGTGCCTTAGCTTGAAGACCAAAGGGATCTCAGACTCAGAATGTCAAAAACAAAGGTCGAACTGTAAGGTGCCAGTACGGTTTGCTCATAGAAATGATGTTAGTTTCATGTTGAGAATTACTTACCAAAATTAATCTTAAAGTTTAGTTTTTACCTGAACTTTAGATTCTTTGACTTTCAAGGCATGAATTACAAAAATAAATAAATAAATCTTGAGGTTTTTATTTCAAATACTTAACTCAAGACCTGCTCAACCAATGTGAACTTGTCCTTGTTTTTAACTTTTTTTTTGGTGAAACAAAATAGAAAGTATAATGTAACAATTATATAATAATTCATATTAAATAAATACAATTTTATAATTAAACATAAGAAACTTGCAACAAGGTGACTAAATGAACATATGAAACGGCATCAGCGTGTTTGGTGCATATGCACATCCTACAGAACACCTCATTTTACGTGGCTTTCTAAAAAAATAACTCCAGTGTGGATCATAAGGGACCCACTTGGGTTCTGGCCCATTTAATGTGTGTTACTAAGTACAGGGCTAAGCACAACAGTCCACTAAGCACACTTTGCGGACACTGGAGGTTCTCTGTCTCTCTCCGTCTCTTTCCGTCTCTCTCTCTCTGTCTCTCTGTCCTCTCCGTCTCTCTCCATCTCTTTCCGTCTCTTTCCGTCTCTCTGTCTCTCTCTGTCTCTCTCCATCTCTTTCTGTCTCTCTCTGTCTCTCTCCATCTCTTTCCGTCTCTCTCCGTCTCTCTCCGTCTCTTTCCGTCTCTCTCTGTCTCTTCTCTGTCTCTCTCTGTCTCTCTCTGTCTCTCTCTGTCTCTCTCTCTCTGTCTCTCTCTGTCTCTCTCCATCTCTTTCCGTCTCTTTCTCTTTCTCTCTCTCTGTCTCTCTCTGTCTCTCTCTCATCTCTTCTCGTCTCTCTCCGTCTCTTTCTGTCTCTCTCTGTCTCTCTCTCTCGTCTCTCTCTCTCATCTCTCTCTCCGTCTCTCTTCCGTCTCTTTCCGTCTCTGTCTCTCTCTGTCTCTCTCCGTCTCTCTCGTCTCTTGTCTCTCTCCGTCTCTTCTCTCTCTCTCTAATCTGTCTCTGTCTCTCTCGTCTCTGTCTCTCTCCGTCTCTCTCTGTCTCTGTTGTTGTTTATTCCAAAGAATAAAAAGTAACGTGCTGATCTAAACATGTTTGCAGTTAATTTTCCATCGAGGTAAAATCCTCCTCTTTAATAAAATGTTCCTGTCATTTGTCAGGAGTGCACCGGCGTCTCCCAACCACTCGGGGGTGCTGTCTGCTCACTCCAGCGGTGTGCAGACCCCGGACAGCCTGTCGAGGGAGGGCTCACCTGTCCCTCTGGAGGTCGACACGTCTGTCCCCGCCCCCAGCGCCAACGTGCAGCCCAAACTAATCCAGGAGACGAGATTCGCACACAACACGCCAGGTACACACGGTGGATTATACTGTAGACGTCACACGCTGGGAATATTCTCAGCATTTTAACTTTATACTTTTATAAACTACATTTGTCTAGATCCAGAATAAATATATTGTTAAAGCAGCTCTTGGGGTCAAAATGAGACCCCTGTGGACTGTCTGCAACAAGTTTCTTATAGTCCCCGACTTATAAGAACCAACTACACAAGGGGAAAAAAACAAATACACCTTAACTAATTCAAATAAAATGCAGGGGAAAATAATACTGTTTAGTTATAAATATTTCCTGTAGATATTGCATGTTTTAGTAGCTTTTTTTTTTAAAATCTGTTTTATTGTCTGGAAATATTGATGTATTTCATTTCATAGTTCATTTTGTTTTGTGTGTGATATTTGATCAGTATGAATGAGGAAGCAGAGATCTTTGATACTGAAGGAGTTGTTGAAGAAAAACAAAATGTCACTTTCCTGGAGGCTGGGGTGCTGTTAGCATGCTAGTTGTTTCTATCTCTGTGTTTTAGTAAATAAGCAGGTTTTTCTTTATATAGTGCTTTTCAGAGACATATGTCACAGAGTTGCTTTACAGATCATTGTTCATTCACTCCATGATCAGTGGTGGTAAACTACTATTGTAGCCACAGCTGCCCTGGGGCAGACTGACTGACTGAAACAAAGCAGCACCACTCACACACACACCACTTTCAGACTAGGCAATGTGGGTGAAGTGTCTTTGACAGGGCGGTGTGGCCACGTCTCACATTGTTTCTCAAGTCAGACTAAAATACAGTTTTAAAGATGAGGCGGTGGACAGCGAGCTCCAGGGGAAGTCACTGTGACAACAAGTGAAATACTGATTCTTGAATTAGACCGAATTCTTCATCAAACTCTAATGCAAATTTTGAGGCATAGTAAATATTAATTAGCACCACAAACAGAATTAATCCACATATAAAAACATTCCTAACTTGGTTATTTATTTTAGAGTTAGACCGATTATATCGATTGACCGATATTTGCCCTTTATAGCATATCGGTCATAAATCTCCAGCACAGACTGAGTTGTTGTTTTGGCTGCCCTGCAGTTTAAAAATACACATAAAACTTGATTTAAACATTTCAGTGAAAGAGAGAGCTGCAGAAAACATGACTACACTGCTCTCTTATGGACTAACAGTCAAAAAGGGCTGTGCGTGAGTTTGTAGTCAATTTAAATTACAGAATTAAAAAAAAAAAAATCTAAATTGGCCCT